ACCGCATAAGAGAGTATGAAGAGCTGCGTATGAAGGGAAGAAAATTAAGCAAATGTTTTTTATGCAAAGATGGACCGTAGGTGTCTTAGAAAAATTTTAATTAGAAAAAGGCACCAAAAATCCTTTCCAAATGAATTCAGTGCCTATTAATGAGCCAAATAAATGGCCATGTAGTAAACAGTCATTTCCAATTAACTCCTAATGTGGCTGGTACGGTAGATAGAAGTCAGTGTGACTCACTTTTTCCCTTTCGTTGTCAAAGAATGGTAATTTTAAACTTTTCCTTTCATCTGACTTCAATGTATTTTTCCCTGCTAGATTTTATCTTGACTAGATCTGCTAATATCATAAGTGAATTGGGCTGTTGCATGTCTTCAGAGGTTCCTTTCCACCCCAGCTTCCAAATGACCCTCAGCATGCTGATGTTTTATGGTTGAAATGTGATACAGTTCTGTAAGGGAAAAACTGAACCTTCTGACTTTGAACCTGTTGTAGTTTTGTCAGGCCGAAATTGCTTGGGCAGTATTTCCTAACCTTTAGGGAGTGACAGGAAAATGCATTCTGCATCCAATTTTGTTAGTCATAGCAGGAACGAACACATGAGACTTAAAGCAGCAGTGCTGTTTAGTTTCTGTCTCACAGACTTTAAACAGCACAGTCCTTAAGGAGAAAAGGACAGTCTGGAGTTGCTGTATGTTGTGTTGCATGTTTTTTTAACATTGAAGCATGACATGGGTTTGAGAACAGTTTCATCTATTTGGAGTAAAGTCTGGATTGAAAATCTCACAAAGATGCTTCAATGAATGGAACTGCACCTAAGAAGTTTGACACGAGCAGTCTTCTCCCATGGCACCCACAATGCAGTCTGGCACATTTAGCCTATGTTCTCTCATGCTTTCTGAGAGAGAATTTGCAGTGGCTTGGGAATCCATTGTGTCTGTTTTCTTTTTTATGCACTCTTCATGTGTATTTAACACTCTTTGCTTTTTTTCTTTAAATTGTTACCAGTGATAGTATTGAGGTGCTGGCATCAAAGTTTCGGTTAAGGTCTAACATTTCATGCCTACCATTCTTCAATCAGGGATGGGAGAGATGACAGCTGAGTTTGGACACTGCTCAGTGCTGTGAGTATCCTGTTTCTGTCCTCCATTGGATACACTGGAGGATGGTGGACATTAACTGCTCAGGTCCTACTTGTTCCAGAACCTACTAAGGCCTGTTTTGGCACCTCTTGTCCTTGACTACCTGAGAAAAGTTGAAGCTTGTTCCCAAAAACAGTTTCTTTTATAGTTATACAGGGACCCTAAATGCCCAGCCTCATCAAAAATACCTTTTCCCTAAATGCATTTCATCTGGCAGGGGACACATCTGTGAGAATTTATTCAACCTATTGCTAACACAGTCCTTGAAATATATTGAAGGACATTTCTGTTTCACTTATGTAAATCAGCTGCCTCAGCTACTAATATTATTAAATATTTGCATGATTGCAAAAGTTGGGGTTTTTTCTTTTTAAATTACTTCCATGTAAACAAACAGAAATGCCAATGGCAAAACACAGACTTACTCATTCTCTTCCAACTTAAATGCTTCAATAGGTATGCTCATTGTAAGCCATTATTTTTTGATCCTACTTAGTCTGTGTAGCCCACAAGCAACTCTGAAATAAATGCTGATGGAAATCTTGTACTTGGATATAGTAAAAATCTATAGGAAAAATTTAGCAGCTACTGATGATGCTGCATTCTCAACAGCTGACTTTCCCCTGGTCTCCTGGGAGGAGATGATGACTGAATTAGCTGTTGTCAGCCTTGCTAACAGTTTGTGATCTGCAGCTCTCATGCATCACTGAGGGAGGTCTGAGTCAAATCTTGCTGCTTGTCTTTGTGGGGAAAAAAAATGCTAGGGCAGCACCTACTGCAGGAAATAAAGGCTGCATGATTTTGCAGGAGCAAATACCTGAACTGACTGTGAAAGGAGGGACTGAGTGAAAACAGCATTTGACCACTCTTCTACAAAAATGAATATAAATCTGCTGATGCATATTTCAAGTCATAAGGAGTTTGGGGATGGGTTTTTATGCCAGTAAGAGAGAGGCTGCAAGTCCAGAACCCCAAAGGCAATTGTCCCCAGCTTGCTCTGAGAGCAAGCTCTAGAGAGGTCTGGTGCTATGGGAACTCCAGATGCCATCTAAGTCTTTAGAGAGGAGGACATTATACCTGCAGCTGTTGGCAGGGATTGTGATTTGAGGAAGGGAACAACTGGCTGCTTGGGCTGTGGGATAAATAACAGAAGATGGAGGTATTAAACATAAACAAACTATTGTTAGATTCTGAAACAAGTTTCCCACGTGTACACCAGCATGACTTTGCCTTTGGAGAGTGAACTGGAAATCGTGATAAATAGCAGCTTCCACAGGAGAATCCCAGCACTACTTAACAGCAAGGGAAGGACTAATACTTCAGCTGATCCCTGTGATCCCTGAAATGAGTAGAATGCTTATCAGTTTTACTCTTCCAAATCACCTGAGTAAAAGACTCAGTGGTTGGACACTCAGCTTCAGGTGTTTCAGAGGTACTCTCCCCTGATTATGCAGGCAGGTATAAAAGAAGAAGGCTTTCCACAAACTATTTCCATGTCAGGTTGGAGGGCACACCCTGACTTAGACAGGGGCTGGTAGTAGACACTTAAGAAGAAATATGAACACGTCTAGAAAAGGGTGCTCAGCCCCTCTAGTGCACCTGGTAGCCAGTCCTTGAGGGGCTTCCTGAGGCCAAAGTTATATTACATTTACTGTGTTTAGTAACTACTGATAGATCCATCTTCCATAAATCACCTCACCTTTTCTTTAGAAGCCATTTATTCCTCTGGCTTTCACAATGTCCTGTGTTGGTGAGTTCCACAGCTCAATTATAGATGTAATATATAAGAACTTTTTTTTTGTGTATGTTAAATAAAAGTATTTTCTTGCTTCTACTTGGTCTTTAAAAGAAAGCAAATCTTTAGTTTGTTAATAGGATGTTTATCCTGTTGCAATTGCTCCATATGGAAAACACGTTTTCCTCACTAGTAAAGTACCCTTCTTTGATCATTTTACAAAGGAAAAAAGTTTACACATGCAGATGACTGTAATATTCTCTTATGTAATTGTGTGGAACATGTTACATGAAATAACATGTTTAAGTTTTATGTCACTGGATTTTGCTGTCCTATTTTACTTCAGTATTTTGATGCTTCCTGTTTTATTTGTTCTGTAATTCTGTTCATGACAGTTTTAGCACAAAACATCAATCTGGATCTCACCACCTCATTGTATGTACACTTTTGTAGAGAAATGAGACGTCAGTTATATGCCCTCCCTGCTCCCTCCTGTTCGGGCTGAATGGCAGAGCTATTCTATGCTATTGAAAGCCTTTAAAAAAATCTATGCATGCTATTTTTTAATATTCTAATGTATTATTCATATCAGTACATAAGCTTATGCTTGTCAGTTTTATCTTCTGTATAGAACTGATTACTTTTGACAGTATTTTTGCACTGTTTCTTTTCTTTCTCTTTTTATAATAAAAAGTTCTATTCAGCATTAATTGACTGCAATAATTTTTTACCCCCTTCACTGCCTTTGTGTAAATAGTTTCTTATATGTTTTTCCAAATATGAGAATGTCTTCAGTCACTGAGGTTTTTTGGTAAGGCTGTCCTTACCTTCACAGTAAACAATAAACCATTTTTTTCAAGGAAAACTATACTTGTGTTCTTTTTCTGTACCAGCTTAAGGTTTTGTACCTACCATACTTGAGTTAGTTTCCCACGTTAAACTGGTAGGCACAGCCAGGGCCACAGTGAGCTTTGAACAACCTTCTGTAAACAGTAATCCAGGTTTTGCAGGGGCAAGGCTCACACTGGTGCTCATGCTCAGTTGCTCAGATTCTTTGGTGTTGAAGTATAGTCTGGGTTCTGGACAGACTTTCTGAAGTAAAGGTGCTATTTCCTTGGACAAAGGTTTACTTGGCAAGATAACGTTAGGATAAAAATAGTCAGCTAGTGCCCTCTTCCTAGGTTTGGCTGTAGTTAAATGGCTTTCTGGAGCTGTAAGATCTGGTGCAGTTTTATGTACTCCAGCAACAACTGCTGGCTGGAGAGCAATGAAAACCTTCAGCAAAATGAGCTGACAAACCCTTGTTCTTGCAGTTTTATTTTCAGAACAGTACTTACAAGAAAGAAAATACAGTAACATTCTCAAAGGTGATGTGTTCTCTTTCTCATCATACTTTATAAGCCAAGAAAGCAGCAAGGAACGGGCAGGTACTTTCACTGGGCACCACATTTAAATATTGGTGCTGGAAGTGCATAGCCACACTCTTTTTTCCCCTCCCTCCTTAAAAGCAATTTCCTACCATTGATCTAAATAGAGGGGGGGAAAAAAAAACCCTCTTAGCTTTCTCTACCCATATAAAATAAGTCCTGGACTTTTTCCTCAGAAAAGGTTCTTGTTCCTTATTTTAAAAGTAACTGCTAACGTATTAATAGAATAGTTGTAATACACTGGAGGCGAAGGTAGGGCTGTAAGGAAATATGAGCAGTAAATTCACTTCAACTTGTAAAGGGGACTAAAAAGCCAGAAATCGCATAGTTCATGTCTTGTGCAAGCCTTTGAGCTCCGAGATAGGTGCCAGCATTATCTCTCCGTACAAGACGTGCTGAGCTCTAGATCCTTACGGTGATGAATCCCAATCTGCCAGGAGCAGTGACGGACCTGCAGAATAACTGGCTGAGGGAACAGCGGTGGCTTTCCTGTAAAATGCACAAAATTGATCCCCCACTTCCCCTTTGTCTTAGCTAAGCCACTGCAAACAAAAATGATTCATGAAAAAAAGGAAATGGATGCCAAACCACAACAGAAAAAGTACAGCTTTTGCTAATTTGTCAGATTAAACAAAACTATTTAGGCAAAAGTAGGTGTCACAAGAATATTGCACCCATTTAAGTGTACAAGTGGAATCAAGAGGGGTCAAGACCACTTTATTTACTTTACACAAATAAGATCCACATTGAAATCCCTAAAGAAAAAAAATGGCCACTTTTGCACATGAACTGTCAGAAGGCATAACCTTCAAGAAACCATGGATGCTTCCTTAAAAGAAAAAAAAAAAGGCAATTGTAGATGGGTGGAAGCTAGGAAGCTAGGCCTAAGTGTGTTTGTCATTCCAATTATAGGACAGAACTGTGTTCACTCTACCACTTTTCAAAGCACTCCTGAAGGTTTCCATAACAAGGCTTTTTAAATAAAGGTTTGAAGGATTGCATAGATTCAAAGGCTCAGTGGTCCTCTAATTCCTTTTTGATCTCTGAAATGTATGGATGATCTTTCCCATGTGCTACTTCCATGATAGCAATTGCCTATGAAAAGAAAAAAAAATATTCACACAATTGATTCATATATAACACCAGGCTATAAATACTCTCTTTAGAGGTTTGAAGCAGTCTGACACCTCTAGCTACTTTTTGTCCCCTTGTACTCATAAACCCAGTAGGAAATAAAATGAATTTCAAAACTAAGTAATAAAGGTTTTACATTCAGAGAATACATCTTTGATCTTAAAGGAGCCCAAAGCAACTTTCAAAATGATATTCCTGACAAAACTACTTTGAATGCAACCAGCTCCAGGACAGAAAACTGTAAGTGCAGTGGGTAATATTCTGGCAGACGACTTAGCCAGTATCAGAGCGAGCTGCGTTCCTACCAATTTATCCTTCAGCTGTCACATGGACATGCAGGCCTGCTGCAGAATTTACATTTCAGACTTGGTTCTGTAAACCCTGCACTGGTTCCAGGGGCTACCTATGCTTTAGCAAGGAAGCAATTTCTTAGGGAAGAAGTGAAATCCTGTCAGGTTCAGACAGACACTGCTATGCTCAACTCCCTGCCATTTCACCTACAGCCTGCTCCAGTCCTAAGAGTGAACACTGCAGGCAGCCAAACCCCCTGACTTGCACTTTTCCTGCCATTACCCACACTCGAGGTGGAGTGTGTGCAGGGGCAAGGTTTCCACTTGAGAAAAGGATAGCAGCACCCCCAGTCAGATGTGATAAAAGAGGCAGCAGTAGATAGAACTAAAAGCAAGTTCAGTGTAAGTCTGAAAATATTTAAAGACCACAGTGGTAAGACAGAACAAGAAATAGCCCTCTGAGCATTTAGTAATTTTCTCATTGGGAAACTTATATTATGCTCTTGCATTTGTTTAGTGAGTACACCAAGGGCTTTTGGTACCTCAGCAGCAGCAAGAAATAACTCCACTCCTCCTCCTCCCGCCCGAAAGAAGAAAGGAGGGACTTCTGGATGAGCTGCTCACAAACTGACAGAGAACAATGGTTTTGTTTTTCCACTAAATCCCAAACATAAGGGGCTGGGATAACTTTGAGCAGTTCCTGTAGACAGCTTTTGGAAGTGAGTCATTAGAAAATGTTTGTGTTAGGAAGCTAACTCTGCCAACAAATCTACCTAACAATTCCCTACCCCCCATCCCATGCTCTTACTGGCACAGTTCCCATTTCTACTCAAGGGTTTAATACCACAGGGAAGGAAAACCTATGTTAACTTCAAACCAGGTAACAGTTAAATTTTCTTGTAGCATCTTGCCACCATGGCTGAATGGCTCTGTTATTGCTGGCTAAAAGCTTGCCAGCATCTCAAGAAGAAGAAAAAATAAATACATCGTGACATTCCAACAGTCATTATATGCTACAGTAGTCACTGATGCTTAAGAAACTAAAATAAACTTCTGTCCAACAACAAGAGGGGGGAAAAAAAGTCAAGAAACATAGTACAGACTAAAAATAAAATAAAAGAATAAAAAACTAAGGAATAAGGAACAGACTAATAAAAGGGGGTGAAGAAAAATGTAAACCCAAATGCTGTATTTGCCAATTTCAGCATTACCAGATGCATTGAATTCCCTTCAGCTATGCGAAAATCAATTGGTTCCAGAACAAATAACCACCAAAAGCATGCCTAGTTTAAGTTGGATATAGAAATCACAGACTTCAATGAAACACTATGTGCCTTTTGTAAGAGCCAAGCATTTTTTCTGTCCTTACCCAGCAAATGAGGAGAAGCTATAGTTCTGCTCTAGTGCAGCTCTAGCTCAGTGAACAACTTGGAGCAAATGTTTAAGCATAATTCTCACTCCAGCTGCTGCAGTATGAGCCCACTGTGAAAAGGTAAGACTCCCTGTCTGCAAGAGCAGACCTATACTACATTCTCAAGAAAAATCAAATCTGAGCCAAAAATCCAGTAACCAAATACATTAACAAATGGTGCATTTCCTACCAAGCCAGGCTTACTGACAGAGAAGCACAGAGTTTTTCAATGACCCCATGTCTGAACTGGTATTAATGAAGAAACCAGGAATAAATACCCTCTTCAGGGCTTTAACTCCAGCCGTTCTGTTATTCAACGCCATATACAGTCTCCCTAATTTCAGCCACATGGAGGCAACGTTCAGCGAGTAGGAGGGATAATGTTTACTGCAGGAGAGAAAGAAAACCAGCTTTATCAAACTTGGCAGTTTCATTGCATTTTCCCAGCCCCTATCCCCCTCTCAGGGGGCAAGAAGCTGCCTCTTGTTGCCCCTGCCCATTCACTGCTCATCCCCTCTGCCATGACTGCCAAGAGTCAGTGCCAATTGTGTCTGGGATAGGGACGCCTGTCAACTGGGAATTGAACTGAAACTACCATATGCCTCTGAACAGCTGTCAGATGGCAATGACTTTCTGCCACTAGTTTTAATCTAGCCAGCTACAGAAAGAGACTGCATTGTTATGAGTTTTTGGAGCCACCCTGCACTCGCAGAAGTAGCTCTGTGAATTGTACAATAGTTGGTGGAATGGAAAGCAAGGGGCCCTCCGCAGTGTGTACGGCACACATGCCACTCTGTACTCGCACACACTGAGCTAGCAGAGTCCAGTTCAGCAGAGCTGACCTGGAATGCCAGGCTCAGAGCCAGAGGAGCTGGGCAAGTCCCAGGGAAGATAAATAGTACTGAGCCCCCAGGCGGGGAATGTTGGCTCCTTCTTTGTATCACCGCTCTCTGCCAAGTGATCTGTGACTTTATGTTGGCATCTGCTCCAAAGGGAGAGCTTTTCTTGTGCTCCCCCCAGCTGGCAAGAAAGTCACGTCTCAAGACGAGAATCTGTTTGGGAGATTCATGGCAGGATCAGACACAGTGCATAACTGGCTGGCTCTAATGAAAGAGATCACTACTGTAAAAACACAGACAATTTTATCAGAAAGAGTATTAATTTTTTCCGCAGAGGTTGCGTGTGCTGCCTTGCCCCACACAGGGCTTCAGCCTGGGCATTCTCCCACGCCCCCAGCTCTCAGGCAGTGGAGATCAGGGACATCGGGGCACCCCCACCTCGCCTCCGAGTGCAAGAGCTGAGCTCGGCTTCAGCTCCCTCTGCTGCTCGGCCCCAGCCCTGGTACAGGGCTCTGCCCTCCTGTAGCCGTGTTCACTGTGCTGCTGCCGAGAGAAAGGACTGGGACACTGCCGGAGGCTGACGGCAACACAGGCTTTGCCTCCATGACCTTATACAATATCGACTGCAGATGCAATTTGAAGCTCTGCTTTAGTAAAAGATTAAAATAGTTAAGAAAACCAGTGTTTATCTAGCCAAGCAGAACTGCCACAGCACCCAGGGTGGCACAGAATTATTTTAAGAACTCAAAGCAAGGATTTCAAAGTCAGTCCTGCTATATATTGAAGACCACATTTTGATAGTAACAAGCACTGTCCTAGCATTTAAATGTTCTTTGCAAGTAGTGATATCATAGGTAGCATGTTTATACAACACATACTGAGAGAAGTGATCTCTGCCCAAACTTGTCTTAATTGTTCAGACTACTGAATTAAAGCGCTAAAAAAAAAAAACAAACCAACAACAAAACCTCTCTCTTATTTACCTGTATGGTCTGATAATTTTTTGCCCATAACGCAGTGCACCTTCCCAGTCCTGCACATAGAGACAGACACCCATGGCCTGGTACATCATATGTAACATATAAACATTACTGTCTTCAAACACTGCACCCATCTTGTCCAGGCTGAGCTCACAGATCTCCAGTAATTCAGCAGGAGGTATGAAGAAGTCAAGGAACCCAATAAATAGATTGGCCTCTCCTTATATAACAACCTGTTAATGCCTTCAGACACAAAGAGGACAGAGGTACGCTTAATTTCTACTGGTCACTGCATTTCTCCTGCAAGTACTTCTGAAGTCCAGCAGGCGAGATTTATGTCACACACCAAGTCAGTGGAGTCAGGGTGAGACAAAGGATATATTTGTAGTGTTTGGCTCTCCTGAATTCCTCAATCACGTTCCTGGCATATTTGATCATGCCCTTTACCGTCTCTGCCGATGGAGGATGATTCAGCTTGCAGATTTCCAGTTTGTCTTTATCCTGAAGGAAACACAATGGACTTTACAAAGGCAGGTTCCAAGCCCTACAAATAAAGGTGCACCTGCTATACAAAATTACTCTAATAAAAAGACACAGATGGGAACTTAAGCCCTTCAAAGAATATAAAAACAAAAGTAGAATGTGCATCTGCAATTTTTCTCTAAAGCCTTTGGCTAGGAATCCTAGAATCCTCTGGCCTTCCAGTTCATCTGCCATTCTCTACTTCCATGAAGTCCCTTTCTTTTGAAAGATCGAAGAGCTTTTCGATTTTGTGATGAAAGCAGTTTTACATAAGAAACTTCACTGCTTTTGAGAGATTAAGGACTAAAACAAATTTAATTTTAAGACTATAAAAGCTCAAATACCTTAGTCTACCACCTAGCTCTGTGAAAAATGACATGGTCTTAAATACGGAAAAGGATCCTTCATATCTAAAGAAAAAAAACCACATTTCCACATATTTTGTTATTTCTGCTGGACAGCTCCACTTACTCTTATCTTTCTATCTACCTTACTGTTTCATGAAGAGCCAGCTGCAATCTAGAGACAATCTTTCGCTGTTTAAGCTTCACGCTCTTGCTAGATTTCCTTTTCTTTTATTATTTCATCTGCCAGCCAAGAGGGCTACAGGGGACTCTTTCCAGAGCCGAAGGAGACTGCATGACAGGTGACTCCAAGAGTAGCACATTGTTGAAAATCACAGATGAAATCCTGGCTTCATTAAACTCAGTGGCAAAATTATCAAGGTAACTCTGGGGAAAAACACAACTAACATGGTATCAACAGAATGGCCTGAAGCAGCAATATTGAGTACTATTTTGGAGAAAAAATTACAAAAGATGACACCATTTAGGGAAAGAAGATAGCTGTCTGGTCAATTTGGGAAACAGCTCTTATAAGGACACCTTGTGAAAATGGAAGGTAAAATGATGTGGAACTTAAGGATCAGCTTCTGCCAGCCACACTGATCTTGTCTGGAATGACAGATGAGCCACAAAGCTCAGTTCTTGTAGGGTCTCCAGGGAAGGAGATCCAAATGGTTGCACAGGCCTTCTCTTCCCAAGTAATTTTCTTCAAAATACCTAACGCCTTGTTTTAAGGAACACTGTCTGGACATCTGCCTTTGTCCTTTGAGGGGCACCATCTTATGTCTAATGAACATAACTCTGGCCTGCACGTTCACAAGGAGCTGTGACCCAGGGCCACCCTGTCTGTGAGCAGACTGATATGATGCCATTTCTCAGAATCTGCTGGGTCTCCAAACCATCCAGTGATGTCATACAGCATTCACCTGGAATTGATTGAAATGTCCCAATCAGGAACTGCAGGAACTGAAGCAGTACTCTATCCAAGAACAGGACCCCAGAAACACCCCAAGCAAGATTTATTTGCTAGAGTTGGTAGAAAGAAAGCACTTAAAAAAAAAAAAAAGAAGTTCTGAGCTAAATTCTTTTGGTCTGGTGACCTAGACACAGTGTAATTATCTACTTCTAACAATGCTTTCATCTTTGCTTTGTAGTTCAACTTTAGATAGAGCTCTACCAGGAAATTTCCTGATGTGTTATGATTACAGTGGAAAGAGTGAGTATAAGAAAACCTTCTAGACAGAAAAACAAAACCACCCCCCTATCCTCCTATTATTCCACTTTCCAAAATGTAATTAAACCAGATAGGAAATTACATCTAAGGACATGGGTAGGTGCCTTGAGAGTCAGAAGCATATTTCACATCAATTGTATTACCTTTTCTTTCGTAATGCACTCCCTGCAATCACAAATAAAGAAATACGAGTCTTTTAACCGGTCATTTCTGTCTTCTGTGGGATACAGCAGGTCAATATAGCTGCTAAAAATCTACACAGTAAAAAAACAAAGCAATTAGTGAGAAGGAGTGTCACTAAACGTATTTATCACTACTCGTTCTGGTATATGTAGTATGACTGCTACATATTCATGCAACTTGTGGACCCCTGCAGCCACATCACCTGCTTGCTCCCTCACATTCCAAGCCTCTTGGCAGCATCAGGAGTTGTCATTTGTGAATGCAGTCTGACAGAGAAGTGTTCCTTTCCTATTTGTTATGGAATTTCCCTCAAATATTACCCTGGCTTATACCCAGGACAGCAAGATTCAGGTGTGGATAAGGAAACTATCACAGCATAAATCTCAGGCTCCTGTCAGACTACAAAGATACACCTACTTTTCAGAAGTAAAATAATGATTTCAGGTATCCAGCCTCAGATAAATTACAGTGGCCCGGTTTTTGGAGGTTGGAATCTGAAATTTTTCTTTCTGAAAACCTACCAAAATTGGGGCAACAGCAGTCACTAGTAGCTTTAGAAACTTAGGACAAGATCTTTAGATCTCTGAAAAGAAGAGAAGCCCAGTTCTCCAGTTCAAGGAGAATGAATATCAGATTTACTTCAGCAGCAATATTTTAAAGCAAAGAAAACCTGCGTTTGAACATTTTAAAGGCCCTTCATACACACTATTCTTAAGTTTTCCTCTATTTCAATGGTCTTCAGAAAAGAACCCCTGCAACTAGCTTTAATGCTCTGCCTTTAAAACGAGATCTCCCCCAAGAAACACATCCTATGCACAGTGCAGTTGATCATTCTACAGACAAGGAACAGCTTTAGCTCCATTTCCTCATTTATAGCTTTTTGAAATGCTTTGTTCAGTCTTTATGCTTAAAGTTTCTCTCTTTAAAAATAAAATTACATGTAATTTCATATAGTGCACCTTCTTCTTAAGTGAAAGTGTGAGCGTGAGTGTGTCATCTCACACTTTCCCCCACATTCCTATCCTCCCTTCCGTACTTTCAAAGCATGTCAAATGCAGGAACCTCATTTACAGAAAAAAAAAACCACTTATAAATGTTGCACTGCAATGGCTGCACAGCGCCTGAAGATGGAGACACAGGCTGTGAGACTGCACAGCACCCATGCACAACCACAAGCTCACGTTTAGAAGATTCTGAAGTGTCAGGAAAGCGAACGTGCAAAAGCCATGAGGTCCTGGAGAGCTGATGCAGCTTCTAAGACAGAACTCAACCCGAAGAAGACGCCAAGGAAAGAAAATACTCCACATCTCTACCTCTCGCCATACGCCCTCCCCGGATATGCTGAAAATGTCTGTGCATCCATGGTAAAATTCTTAAATCAGAATCAGTTCTTGTCCATTACCACAATGCATTTGCAGTGGCTGCCAACATCACAGACAAATAATCGTTAGTAAATGGCATCAAAAGAAGTTGTTCACCTGAGTAATTCCCCTTGGCTACACCAACTAAACTCTCTTTGTTCACAATGGTGAACAGCTATAATCCAAAAAAAAAACCTCCCTCCCCTTCCTCCAGGCTGCCATCGCACCGTTCAGAAATCAGAACTTTTCAAAAATCAACTCTGAGCTTACTTTGACCAGAATTAACTTTGTCCACTAAATTAACATTTAAAAATGAGCCACTGAAACTCTATGAGAACTCCATCCCCAGAGAGTTCTGTATCTTCATTCCCTCAAGGTATCTGAACATCCTCCTTGACTCTAACATCTTTTTTCTTAAAGCAAAATGCAGCTCTGCTGCTTTCGACTCCTTGCCAAGTTCATTATTTGACTGAAAAAGTTTCAAGGTAAACCCAGAGCTTTATTCCATTTGACACAATTTTAACCATCACTGTTTAGTTTCACTCTGCCTAATAATACACTTTTGCTCTTCTGTGACTTCCCAGCAAATGCCACTGAGGTGATATGACCAAATCCCATGTTTTGTGGACACGCTGTCCAAACAGAAGTCAGAGGACTTATCTGTACCCATTTACCTTGTTTATTCTGGCTTCAATTTCAATACATTACTATTATACTGGGAATTATTATAGCAGTAATAATTTGCTTTGATCTTGGAATTTCAAAGCACCAGCCAAACATCAGTAAATTCAGCCTCATTTTACAGATGGGTAAACTGAGAGAGAGGCTGGCAGATACACAGTGACTGCTGCAGGTGCCCTTCCCTTGTTTTAGCACAAAATTGGATATATTGCCTCCAAAAATCTCTATAGTCCTCCAGAGCCACCCTAACTCTTACAAAGCACCATCTTACACTTCTCTGAGAAACAAGAGATCCTTAGTCCCTATTATTAAGTTGTCATCTAATTGAAATGAACCCTGAAAAACAGAATGGATTCTACTTTTAGAATGCATGAGTACAGAGTACATTCAAACACTGTTGCTTTTACCTCCTCTCCAGGTTCAATCTCTTTAACAGCTCTGACTTCAGCCAAGGTTCCCTTGTAAGTCACAATCACATTTGGGCAACAGCTATGGTTCATCAACGCAACACTGTAAAAGTAGAAAAGTAAACATTTTCCCCAACCACCACCACAGGTAAAAGGTAAAAATTAAGCACCACTGCACAAAACAAGTAAGTCTGAAAGAGTCAGTCTCTCTCTGTAAGCTGTTTTTATTCTGAGACTTAACACAAAGGTAACCTTGGGAAAATATGTTGTACTGTTATTTATTCTAATGATACGGAGAATGGCTGTGCTAACACAACATTACAATTTTTAAATCCTATTCTTGCAGTACTAGGCAAGTTATTCTTTTCCCTTTCTTATAGTGCGATAGAACAGATGACATGGATGTTCACACAGCTTTACTACCAGCATGATAGACAGACTATTTTCCTCAGAGGAGAAAGAAGAAGAAACACATTTAACCTAAAAGGAAACAAACAAATACAGGAAAACAAAAGTTTTTGCTGCATCGTGACTTAAGATGGGTGTTAAAATTTTAGGTGGTTTCTATACAAATGTAAATGTTGGAAGTGGGAGGGAAGAGATCTCTACCTGTTATACAAGCATATGACTTAGACAAAAACCTGGACAGCAGAGAAAAGTAATCCACCTTATTACCAAGCTTGGAGAAAGTGTAGGCTGTTGCTTATTTGAGATGAAATGTGTAAATTTAGTTCTTTCTCTTCCAAACTAGCAAAATAACAATTGCCTCTTCAGTCTTTTTAGCTCACAGGCATAATGGTTACATATGAAATATCGGACTCTCATATGCTGAGCATTTACAAAGGATGGCGTTGGGCATGTTTCAAGAACATCCTGGTTTAATACTCTGCTCTCCCCACAATGACTCTGATCCTGGGAATTTCAAGGCATTAATTTCCAATCTGTAGATCAGGATACGAACTTCAGACAGGTCTGCTTGGAGAAGGAGAATCTGTGAAGCAAGGACTAGCTTCTACTCTCTGTGTGCAGCACTTGGCAAAATCACATCCTGCTTTAACCGGGCATCTGTAGGTTTCGAGTTACTTTGACATAGATAAGCTACGAGTAATCTAAGTCCCACCAGGAAGCCAAAGTAAGCACACAGTGCTAATACCTTCATACAGGCTGTGCAAAGATCAGGAGCAGAAAATACCCTCCTTTGCTACAACGTTAAGTGGGAAGGACAGACTTAAAAATGGAAGAAATGTTCCTTGGCCTTAAAGAAAGCTGTGCTCCCATGCCCACAAACTGCAGCTAATACTTAACACCTGCAGTATATTTGTAAAGCTAAGAAGCTTGTACATTTTTTTTGCACTGTCATAGCAAGGAGGCTCAAAGAAGTTTTGAAAGGGATTTACTGTTTGCCAGGGAACAATTGCAGAAGGGATATTATTCAGAGCTCATCAGGTGAAGGATTTATACCCAGCCAAAAGAGAAAGCTGGGAACAGAGCAAGTCACCTGCAACCTTTTCATTTAGCTTTGTTGTCCCTGTCCAGAACCTGCTAGCCAAGTAAGTCAGTTTCCTATCAGCCTGAATATAGTCCACAATCTAAGTTTCAAAACAAATTACAAGTGCAATTTTACCAAAATCACCAGGTTTTTAAGAAAAACTGCTGCAAATAATTTGCCACATTTTATTAGCCAATTAAAGATATTTAAAACATGACAAATTGAGTGTTTAATTAATTTCTTTTGGTAGACATGTACTTCCTTTATTTGTTTTTTAAAAATTAGTTAATTTCATTTTTAAAAATATTAAAATAAACCTACTCAGGAAATATGGCTGATCCCAAATGAGAGAGTTCTTCATCTTCAATTGTGAAGCCATTACAGTTAACCTAAGCAAAAAGAGAAAGATGCTAGATCAGCTTCTGGTCAGCTGAGTACTCCACACTCACATGTCACACTCTCACACGTCAAACACAAGTGCAGCAATTTGCTTACAATTTTCTATCCACCTCCCCAGTAGTCACAGGGAGCTACCTGAAGTGAGAACAAAGTCCCTATCCAAAAGAATGCACAGGATATTAAAAAACTGACAGTCCAACGCTCGCACCTGCTCAGGACACAGCATCGAGTGGACTGCTCCTTGGAAGGCCAACCAAGAGAGGCAGGGCTTGAAAAGAGCACTATGAAGTGTCTTGACAAATCAAGACCATTGCAAACAGGAAACAAAGCCTCACCCTGACATGGGGCAAAGAGACTTCATCTGGCCTTGACAAGTAAAGGGCCAGAACTACACGTGCCAGGAGCAGTGTGGGAATAAACAGTGGCAAACTCAGCCGGGCTGGGGCAGTACAGAGCTTTGGTGGAGCATGGCACAGGGACCTGCCACAGTGACATTTGCCATCAACGACTGCACATACCAGCTACAGCTAAAGCACATATGAAAACGACAAAAGCAGTGAGAAAGACTTGAACCTAACAAAGACACAGAGTAGGAGGGGACAGAAAAAGGACAGAGTATGGGAGGAAGTGTATTCCTAATTTAAACAGACACAGGATCAAAAGAGCTTGTTCACAAAACTCTCTCACAGAAGAGATTCAAGCAGGTTTTAAAACCTTCTTACTTTTATTCTCACACAACTCAAAGGAATCTTACAGGACTTTCAGCTTTGTTTCATGTGGTTTGTATCACTTTAAGTGGCCAAAATACATCTCAGTCAAGTACTTTTTTCCACTTCCACTTCGAGTCACATATACACTGACATGAAGAAAACCCTCTCCACATTCACTATCATTTGCCTACAAACATGAAAATTTTTATGAAAGCACCAGTAAAACACTAAAACAACTGCTATCACATGGCCAAGTTCAGCTGAAGCTACAATGGGCACAGTCAATCAAGTACAGTGCAAGTATTTGTTCTGGAAGGGTTAAGGGTTAACAACAAACACTACCAACAATAATCACAGAACCGTAGAATGGTTTAGCTCAGAAGGGACCTTAAAGAGCATTAAGTTCCAATCCCATTTTTTCCCCCCTAATCCCCAGAGGCAGAGACACCTTCCACCAGACCATGTTGCTCCATGCACCATGCAAAGGGATATGTCCCACAAGCTGAAATGTAGCTTGGACCGGATTTTAGAAATACACAAATACTTCCCAAAGCCACTCCTCAGGTATGAACTGCTCAGGATGAGTTCACAATTAAGGAAACTGCCCCGTTTCTCTGATTCATTCACCAGTATCTTTGCTATCTTTGCTAGAACTTTATCCTGCTATTTTTAGCAATATAGCATCCAAAGGTTCCCTGTCTCTCAAGATGAGCATGCTACTGCACTAGCCAGTGTACAAGCATACCTGAACCAAAACCAAAATGCAACTGCTCAATACAAAAACAATACAAAGGAAAGATAATATCAACAGTAAGTAAGAACACAAGGCTACAAAGGCTAACATAAAGAACAGGCTGACAATTCTGAGTAACAGGGAAATATTTAAAAATATGTAGTGAGTTATCACCAACTTCCCTCCACTACACCAGAGACAACACACTTCATGAAGGCATCATAACACAAAATGACACAAGAGGAGGGATTAGAAGAGATGCAATATCACTGGTTTCACCAGATGAACGCGTGACTAAAAAAGGAATAAAGAGACATCAAGGCTATTCCCAATGGTGGAAAAGAGAACATGCAAAGGAAGGCAAGACCTTCAAGGAAAGGATGAGATGCTGGAACTTGAGACAAGACAGAAACTGTTTGAAGAGTATGGCAAGGTGAGACTGAGGAGGAAGAGCTATGTTCCACAGAGACAAAAGAAGAGCAGAAAGATACCAATAGCTGTGGAAGAGAGCAGTGAAATGCAAGGATTTTGGACAAACAAAACTTGACTGCACTCAAAAGGACCAATTACACTTTAGCTGTGTAAGGAAGAACATCAGGCAAAGCCCACTAAAAGCAATGAGCAAGGAGTCAGAGATATTCAAGTTCCAAATGACTGCCTTGAGCCACAGGGACAAACAGTGCCAAATGCAGGAGGCAAAGAACACCACATGAGGCCAGAGTAAGTGCTGAAGCAAAACAAAGGAGCAGCAACATATCTATATTACTGATTTTACTTCAAGTTAACTAATTATTAGAAAACATATTTGTACCTACCAAGTATGAACATGCCTCCCTTTCTTCTAGAAAGACTTATGCTGGGGATAAAACCTCAAAAGGTTTTTTCCTTTTAAAACACTTCTGAGGAACATCCAGATAACCTCTAGAGATTTTAGCTAAAACAATTTTAATGTCCACAGTGGTAGATAGTTACCTGATGATCAGGATGATCTTAAGGTTACACCTGAGGCTGACATACATCTATAGAGCAGACTGCATGGAATATCAGATCTAGGAGTCAGCAGTTCAGAGAAGTCAGTTAAAGTACCTGGTAGAGCTGCTCCAGAACAGGACATGAAGCAAAAAATAATGTAATCTTTGGGGATTCTGGCTATATTCTAACAGAAATATTCAGAAACACCACAAAGAACTGGTTGTACTGATGTCTTTAAAGTATCTAGTCTTCAGAAGAGAAAAAAACCTTGGTATTTAAAGGAAATTAAACAACATAATGGCGGTAAGCAGACACTAAACATACGAAAGAATCATTCCCCTATAGAATAAGAGTACCTCTGTTTCAAGGAAATAGTAACTGTGTCTCCTTGTTGGTAGATGCCCAGCCCAGCTCTACCAACCAGGGTACTGCCATCTCAGCTTTCATCACAATAATCAGCATTTGCCTCCCCTTCAAAATATTAAACATTTTACTCAGACACTTAAGTTTAAAACTAGCTTATATTGCAGTTAAGGAGAAAAAAGAAGGAAATGGATCTTTCAGTATTCCTCTGGTGTATTATTCCATGCACTACAACACGTTCAATTTAGATGCATATGAAAAGTAGGTGAGAAAAAAAGAAGTGACATATCAGAAGCTACCTGACAAGATATCCTGTCTTTCCTTCATGTCTCCAGATGGCCAAACCACCTGACTACATTTAAAAGCCACACGCCAGATAAAAGTTGTAGGCTGCTCTTTCTACTTCTCTGAAGTTTACTCCCTGTGAAGGTCAAACACAATGATGACCTGACCAGCAAGGATTTCCACAAATCTGAAGCCTGAATGAAGGATTTGCCTCTGCAGGGTCTCAGACCAGCAGCCTTCCCATGTCAGTTCAACAACAGCTTGGCCCACAAAAGCCTAACTTTGATAGGGTTTAATAAAGGCTGTTTCTCCTTTTCTACAATGTTTGAAAAGCATCTCATAGAAAGTCTGCAGACAAGAGTCTCTCCCCTCACTATGGAAATGGGGCACATCCAGCCACTTCTACTCAACGAAGCAGATCTTCTCCATCAAGCATGCTTGGTTGCCCCTAAGATAAGCAAAGAGCTACCATTTCTGTCGCTGTTAACATTTCCCCTTTCACAAAGGTTAAACTGCTATAGCACCATCCACCTAAGCAGGTTGTGCTCTAGCCAACTTACTTGTGCAAAGAGAACTACAAGGGCAGCATTGTCAGGGTACTCCAAGTGCTTTGAGTAAAAGTGATGAAGAGCAGCAATGTCGTTCTGAATCAGCTCTCTCTTTTCATTGTCTAGTTTGTCAATGTCTGTGGACAAAGAACACATTCCATTTCAGCAATAGGAAAACTCCCCGATGCACTGCAGCTGGACCTAGGTTAGAACAGGCCCAGACTTAAACAAACACCCCCCCACCCAGGACAGGCTACTTGGAATTACTGCAAGAAGTGCCTGTTCTTCCATAAATGTTATGCTGCTTCTGCCAAAGCCATGTGTGCACTGCAAGAACATGAAGGATTAAAAAGCATTTTCTAACATCTTTAAATTAGCAGGCGATTGGATGTACATTTCCCTTTCTTGGGAGAAGGGCTACAGTCTTCAAAGTGCATTTAACTCTAGCAAGCAGCCCAGCCAGCCCTGGCCCTCTAGAAACCTATCAACTGTGGGTAGCTATCCCCAGCTGCCTAAAGCAACCTTATGAGCTACGTGGTCCCACCTATTGTGGTATCAAGTCATACTCAGTGTCACTTGTCTTAAAGCAGACTTTACAAAGCAAAACTTTCTCATACAGACCTGTTCCCTATCAGGACCGACCAGCCCAAACTCCTGCTAAGACCATGTGCTTTTAAAAGACACGCTCTTTCCTGGCACAGAGGCCCTAAACTATTTGTGGCCACGTGATAGGGATCTTGCAACAACACTGGGGCTAGTCACAGGGGTTCCCTTTGCAGCAAGAGGATGCAACAATGGTGCCCAGGAATGCCATCCACCTGACCTCTTGCAGGAAACTGCTTTAGGAGGTAACAAACAGTGACTGAGAATATCCATATCTCCATGGGCCAGGGCTTGACCGTCAACAGAGGTATGTTTAACCTGCAGATATCTAAGGCTAATAGGAGACAGCAGGAATATCAGTGCAAATGTCCTTGCACACCTTCCAACTCTATTTCATTATGGGTTTCTTTAGAGTTTTACCCTCATGTTAAAGTCATGGCCACTGAACCTTTTCCTGCCTGGTCCATACAGAACAAGCTAAAAGATCAGGTATACTCCTGGTCCCCCCCCTCTCTCTTCAAGGGCAGAGTATTGGGAAGTTTCTTCCTAATCCTCTCTCACACAGTGACAGTGTTATGAGCTCTCTCCCGCTCTATGAGAGCCACAACTCATCCATTTCCTCTCTCCAACTCAAAATAATAGTGGAAAGAAAAATGTGCAGGAAGAGAAAAGGCTTCACAATAGTGGAAGAAGGAGGAAATTATTTGTAAAGCAGATGTGAATGATAGCTGAGTCACAAAAAACACTGAGGAAAATGAAATGAGACAATTTGATGAGAATACGAACAAATCAGAAATAAGACATTCTGAGCTTCCAGCTGACAGCCAGATGCCTTTTCCTCTCTTTTGTAGGGTGTTGCAAAGTATAAGGCAACTGTTGACCGTGGTAAAGGTGTGCTAAGAGATGAGGTGAGTCAAAAAGGCAGGAGGAACAGAGATGCTTATTAACAAAACAAAGGCTTCTAGAGGACAAGTGGGACATTGCAACAGAAAAAAGCTATTTCAGCCTTTTAGCACCCAAATAATAAATTACTGAAGACATGCTGCAATGCTGAAAAATATACTAACCCATATTCTCCTCAACCTCAATCCTACCAACTTACCTGTAAAAATTATCCTTGCCTTAAATGTTGGCATTTTTCCCCCCTTGTTCCCCAGCTGTCCAACAGCAGTGACAGGAGCTTTTGTTTAGGAAGCAAGACTATAATCACACTGTGCTTGGTTACTCTGCTACCTCAAGTCCTAGCAATGACTACATTTATTCAGCATTTTGTAAAAGGCTTTGGAAGCCATCAGAGTGAGAAATGTGAATATACAACCTATTGTCTCTGCGTACCAAGCACCAAGGAAGAGAAACAACAAACCAGTGAAAACTGTGCCCAGGATGGTTATTAGGCCCCAAGTTGGTCAACTTGTAGCTCTGCCTTACCAGACATAAACAGCAGCTTTCCAGTTAAAAGCAAGCCATTGCCTCATCTCCTTCCTTGGATTATTTTAGAGCATTTAGGACATGGAATTTCAACACAATCATATATAACATGTCAGATTTGACTGGCAGTGACAGATACTGAAGCACAGTCCAGAGGGTTCTGCAATTAGCCCCTTAGTCACTGTCACCATCAAGCAACTGTGCTGTCTCTGATTTTATGCCTCCTGGTAACAAATACCAGCTATTTTAATTTTACAACATTACAATTCTCAAAACACACTAGAGTACCAGAGAAGCAAGATGTATGCATGCTACATAATTAATTCTGTCTAGGTTTTCACCTAGGTTTCACAGCCCCCACAAGCAACCAAGAAAAAAAAAAAAGAAATAAGAGTACTGTGCTTTTAAAAAATGAGGAACCACAATTATCTTTGCTCCTTTTCTACAAGAGGGGTGGGATGCTCTGATAGGTTTTGATGGAGTGAGGCCGGGGGAAACATCATTTATATAGTTAAGTCTAAGCCTCTGCTTACCTGAAAGCCTTTTTTACTTACGTGATTCAAACTCTTTTACAGCAAGCAGCTTCTCCGAGTTTGTTCTTTCAGGGTGACTTTTCTAACAATAAGGGGGGAAAAAAACCCAGTAAGCAAATGTTTTAATTTGGCAGTTTTGTGTACTCACTCATGCCTAAGTTGGGAACTCCTAACTGTAAGACAAACCCAAATCCACACTGCATGGAATTTATAAAAGTTGACAAACAGCAATGAGTTAAATTGACTGCCCTCAGTAAAGGCATAGAAATATTCTCTCCACAGCAAATTAGGCAGCCAAAGATTAACTCCTATCAAATTTATATACATAAACTGAACAGTATTTTAAATATGTCATTTGCTTTGTTCTAGACACACAGAAAGCTGCTAACAATAGCAAGCAGGCAGAAGACAGGCTTCGCTTTGAGGAAAGTGAATAAACTGACTGTTGACAGAGTTCAAAAGCAATGCTCCACTGCTGGCCTAAGGCCACTTCTTTGTAATCTTGTCCATTAAATATGGCTTTGCAGGTGGCCCAGCAGCTGAGGTTCAGGGACTGTGGTTTGCATATTTAGCTTTTATATGACATGTAGAGTTCTCCCCCCCTCCCTGTAAGCAATAAAAGCACAAATTTACTCTAGTGACTTTTTGTCATTAAGTGTTCGATTTTGTTTGTGGATCACCACCAAACCATGCTTTAATTAAGTCACACACACATACATTCGCACACACATATACACACACAGCAAGTATGCAGCTACCTTCCCAGCAGGCCACCAAAATGCTCCCCCTGTACAGTATCCAGATTGCCCTTGTCACATAAGCAGACCTCAATCCCACAAATATGCTCCAAAGAGGATTTGTTTTTGCAGAGAGAGTTTAGACCTCTACAAAGATACACAGCATAACCTTGAAACTCATGAATCCCATCCCCTCCCTGTAAGCACTTGTGTTATCCTCAGAATCCATATAGTCAAGGAACACTGAAATAGAGGTTGACATTGCAATCTTCTTTCCTTATTCATACTGTTCTTTTTCTTCAGAGATCAAGGGTCTGAGATTTGTCTCTCAAACTCTGGCTGTCACCATTGTAAATGATTATACCTGAATACCTCAGAGGTGTTACTGACTCACAAATGTACTTGGAGTTGTATGCTACATAAAACTGTGCAACTATAGCTGAAAAATACTACAACAGGCACTTCATAAAGATGGCAGTGTCTGGAGCCAGGTAACAGTAGGAGCATTCCTCAGAATTTAAGCATATATACCGAGTCTCACTCTTCCTTCTCGTCATCAATGTGGCCTTGGTGCCAGCTCACAAATGTAACCTAGAGCTCAAATCTATTGGAAGAGAGGCTGAAACACTATCAGTAAACATGTCCAGACTCTGTTCAACCTTAGTACCTTAGACATAAGTTATAGCTACACAGCTTAAGACCTCACTAGCCTTTTGCGAGCTTCCCTCAAAAATCTCCATGGACTACAGTGGTCCTGACACTGCTGCAGTGCTTTGATGGTCAGTTTGTTCAGCTGCTCATGGTCTGTGTTACATCCATCTGTACACAGGAAACTCGAACCTATGTGCTTTGCAGGGACAGTTATTGCCGGTCAATTTTCATTTTCCTGCCTTCCCTGGCACACAGAGTAGGAGCATACCTCCCAAGTCAAGCCTCCTGCTCACCTGCTTGGCAAGGATCCTCGCCGTTAGTCTTACGGTCTCGGAGGGATTCCAGTTCTGCCCAAAAGTGCACATGGAAGCACACTCGAGCTTGTGCATTGGCCAGTCTTCCTTCTGAAAACATAGAAAAATACAACTAAAAAAGAAAAAAAGCCATAAAGTGATGAAAAAGGGAACGAAGCAAGTCGTGCCAGCTCCTGGGGGTCAAGCGAAATGTGTTTCCTTTAAAAAAAATAAGATGACGCTCACTAAATCCAAACAAAAGCTTGAGTCACATTTAAGGGGTAAAGCTATCCTGCTTTTTTCAAACAAATTCACAAGGGATGAACTAAGGTCAGAACATCTTCATTTACTCAATGGAAAAAAAAAAGAATTAAATTACAAAGAAGCAAACAGACAACATGATTTATAAATCACCAGTTCTTATTGTTCAGATCAAGCATGCGAGGACAGAGTAGGTCCGAGCTTGATGGCTTTATTGGGTTCATTTCCATTTAACACTTTGGCCCCTCATTCTGAGACAATCCTGGTGTAATCAGGAGCAATGCCTCAGAAGTCAATGGATTCACAATCACTGCAAGAATTGGTATATGTAGGGTCAAACCCAAACCTTCTGCACAAAATTATCAGATTTTTTTCCTTCAATGTTAAGGAGTACAGCTAGACAATGAAGACACACTAATACGGGCAAACATGCTTTAGTTAAGAATGTATAGCATACTCCTAGCTCAATATACAGTAATACTTGGACTGATAGCACAAGGCACTGGCTTGTGGCACTCTACAAGTTTCATCCAAAGCTACAGAATCTTTCAAAGGATAGCACAGAATCACATATTAACAATCTGCACTGGCAGAGGCCATCCTCAGACTACATCAAATTTCATTTTATTTATTCATCTGAATAGACAAGCAATGCATAGTTATTTATTGCTATATCTCATCCCAAACACACATTTATAGCACTGCGTTAGAACAGATCTATAGTGTTCTGTCTGCATAGAGAGCATCACATTTTGTTTTCAAACTGGTAGAAAATAGTAGCCATGAAAAGAACTCACAACATATCCCAGAAATTTTTGAAGTGAAAACTTGAAAGCCTTTTTGCAGCCTCCAAAATGTTCTTAAGTCCCCTTGCTGTGATTCACCCAGTATCAGACACCCTGTGTTGGCCCACTCCCCCAAAATTTTTTAAAATAATTTAAAAAAATTAACAATATCCCCCATCACAGTGACTGAGTGGCAGGAACAGGAGGAACAGAGTTTCCCTCAGCTGCCTAACCACTGAAGGCAAGAGCCATTTGAGACACTGGAGAGACGCATTTGAGGCTATCTAAAACATCTACATAGAACCAGTAAATATGATACATGTCTACTGGGAAATGGATTTCCTGTGGAAACTACAGCTGTAGGCTACATAGAAAAACCCAAGGCTCTCAAACAGTCATTAGAATCAGAATCAGAGTTACTACACCAAAAATTCTTCCAATGAAATCAACTGCCCTGGGTGTGGACAGCTTTAGGAGTTTATTTTACTGGGAAAAGAAAGGTGAGCACCTGCCCCAGCTTTGTGTAGGACTTGGAGCAGTGCAACACTGCAAAGATATTCAACGCCTCACAATGTCAACTCCGTTGTCCTTGACACCTCAGTAAGGTACTTCCAAAAAAACCTACATACAGGCTGCTTGAAATAAGAAGCATAAGGATGTGGCAATACAGACCAGAACCAAAATAGTATATTACACTCTAATCATGTCATGTGAAATTACACTCTCAACTCTCCTACAGCTGTCACATTACAAAATGCATCCCCAGAGAAACCCATTTCCTATGTATGCCCCAAGACCTTATTCTGGAAAATTCCTGATAGCCTTTGCTTAGGAATCCACAGGCTAAAGGCTAAGAGGAGACAGAAGGAAATCTCATCTCTCACCTCTTCTTTGCACACACATGACACCCACTAGCTTTAGCATGATTGTTGGGTGTTCAAAAAGTGAAGGCACAGAACCTGAGGTTTTGCAGGATTCAAATGCGTGCATGTTGGTTAAATAAACAGGAGAAATCACCTCATAAAACAAAAAATCAAAATGCAAAATCGCGTGCCTGTCTTGAAGCAGTGTTTTTAAAAATCCTTTTGTCCCTTTATTCTTTACACATCGTTAATTAAAATCTTTCCCCAGGCAGAATCATACTGAGTTATATGAACGAGTAGGGAGGTTAAAGGGACAAGATGCAGCCGAATTGTGTGAAATGAGATAAAAGCCTGAAACACCACAAAAAGAGAAAGTACTGATGACTGAGTAATACCTGGGATGGAAACACTATGACAGCAGCTTTCTCTGCAATCACAGCAGGACTGTATTTTGCATTCTTTTCCACATTTTGCTCCACATAGTTTGAATTATAACAAGTAGCATTGTTCTAGCTGAATCCCTAATGCTATATTAATGATATTTTCTTCCTATTTTCATTACATACACAGTATTTCTCCTTTCATTTAGGAGTGACAACATTTTTGGAAGGGAAGTTCTTTAAAGCTTATGTTTTTCCCATCTAAGCATGGAAACACTCTTCCTGACCAAGTTCTTCAAAAAGATTCCATAGTCCAGGACTACTGGATTAATTGCCAGAACACTGTCGTTTATAACTCAACATAGAGAAAAAAAACCAAGAAAACTCAAAATGTAATACTCAAAAAAAAAAAAAAAAAAAAAAAAAAAAAAAAAAAAAAAAAAAAAAAAAAAAAAAAAAAAAAAAAAAAAAAGACTCAAGTCCAAACAAATGTCCTTGCACTTCCTTTCTCACAAAGACCTTTTACCACTATATAAAAACTTTGTTGTATTTCACTCAATTGAAAAGAAACAGACACAAATATTAGACAGAAATGATGGGCAAGCCAGTGCAGGGGTTAAGCCCACTTCTTCAAAATCTTAAGGCCCAATTGTGATCAAATGGCATTCAACTCTTTAACTGAATTTCAGTGAGGCAAGTTCTGATGTCTGATGGTAGTCGGTAATGTTCTCTGATACAGCCCTTCAACAAGCAGTAAAGGTAGAAGTTCCACACATCTTCACAGCCATCCTTTCCTACCATCATCTATCAAATGCTGGGCCACAGAGTGTATTTGACTTCCACAGGTTAATGTTCAGCATGTTCACAGGAGATATTTATCAAACAAAAATACATGGGGAAAGTTTTTTGATTAGGAGGACAGACACTTCCCTAAGGCAATCTTAAGTAGGATCTTGCAGTGTCAGAGTACTTTTTTGCAGAATCATTACAGCAAAAATTTCTTATTTTTTCTACAGTTAACCAAAGAGAAGCATGCAATTTCTGCAAAGTCCCATAAACACACCTGCTTAATGCTATTACCTGGTCTACCTCGAAATTTTGAGGCTTACTAGATGGTTAAAAATACCTATTTCCCTTACTCCAGAAATACCAGCTACAGCAGCCTTTAACATGACACATTAAGAAAAAGCCATAAACAGTTTGTTCAAAATATATTTCAAATATTGAAAGTCATGACAAAAACATCTCTTTCTGCACTCTGGCTAGCTGATCTCCATTCTGTCTGGAATAAATAATAGCTATGTGTAATAAAAGCAAGAGGAGTTCCAGTAGCTGGTTCAAGTTCACCAGTTCTACAATTGCAACCACAAAACGCTCTTAAAACATTTCTCTTCAGAGTGCTTGAGCAGCTAATTTATGAGGAGAAAAAATGAACACAGGTCTCCTGCTGTTTGCCTAAGATTATTATAATTTAAGAAGTCAAGACCCGAACAGCTGCAAATGGGGGCTGAAAGCCACTACTATAATAACAGGCCTGTGCTCCAAGGAGTCTATAGTGGAGAGCGGAATGGTATGAATCAGCTGGAAATCACAATCCCTTTTAAAAGGAGAACTGGATTAGGGGTTGGGAAAAGAAAGACACAGAAAAACCAGGATAGTTCCAGCCTACAAAACATTCAAGGCAGCAAGGATAGGTAGTGAAGGCAACTTCCATTCTCAGGTGTCCTGAATCCACACCTATACAAACATCCAGCTCAATACAGGTCAAACCTGCAGTTATCTATCTTAAAAGCAAAATGACCAAAACAGGCAAAAGACACACATTAGGGAGCTGTGCCAAGCCAGCGTGCATGCAAATGTGTGTATAGAGGGAGCCCTACACAAATCATCATTGCAAGACTGAGTCTCCTGGGTTCAGTCCCTCAAAAGCGTGACACCACCTTTCCTGGTGGCCAGGGCAAATAGATTATACTGCAAAGCAGAACCAGGTCAATCCATCAAACACCTGGCCATACAACAGGAGATGCACTTTTACCACTTGGGGGATCTTCAGCAAGGCAATTTTTCTTTGCAAACCTATACCCATCCCATTCGCAAAAACAGAAATGCCACAGAGGCTGCTGTGAGGCTTCATTCATTAAATACTAGGAAAGTATTTTAAGAACCTCAAAAGAAGGATACAATATTGCTCCAAAGAGTGGGAAATACATGTAATGTCAGTAACTTCACTTTCAATAACCTTGTTATTCCGAAAGAAAAAAAACTTACTCAACAGAAATGCACTAGATGCCTGTAATTATAAAATCTGTAATTCTGAAAAAGACATCAAAAAAACATTTGCTTCCACCTGCACACTTTGACACCTTTCTCCTTCTGATCCACCTCTCCCCACAATGAACAAAAATTCTTATGAATTGTGGTATAGAAGGTATTTAAGTAAGAAAAAAGCAAGCTCAAAAGCTTTGGGGTTTTATCCCAGACAGTGTATTTCATGCAGTAAACAGCTGTCAAACTGAATTATATTGAGTAACAAGGTACTAACCAACACAGGAAATAATACCATGTCTTTGTCGGGTACGTCTAATTTTTACCTGAACCGAGCAAAGAAAAATGAATTTACAGAGGAAACTTAACTTCAAACAAATAAAAATTAAGTTAACAATGCCATCACAATTCTCAAATAAAGCCCTGCCCTTTTATCGCTGTTGCATGAAGTCCTACCTCCATGGAGGCAAGAGGGACACATTTGCTGTACATTTCGGTGTTACAAGTTCAGTATCAAGGCACAGATGTCCTCTTTGGCTTTGACAAAGAATTGCTGAACTGCTGAAAAATGTCTTTGAACAAGACAGGGATGAAGATGCAGTGCAGATTGTCTGTGTAGCGCGTACAGTCAGTGGAGGCCAGCTTTTGGAGATTATGCTTGAAGGTAACTTTGAAAGAATGTCAAAGGATTCAATCTCAGCAACTTTCATAAATTTCATCAGACTGGCTCAGAAGGGCCCAAGAGACAGAAGACAGTATTATATCAGCTAGGGAGTCAAAAGCCACATGCATATCACCAGTAAGAGTGAAGTGCTAGTACCTGTGTTTGTCATACTATTGTCTAGACACCAACAAAATGTAAAAAAGGCCTTTATATTTTAAGCATCATACCACACACCAAAAGGTAGAGAAGATTTTAATTCATTAACTTATCAGAGAGACAGATTTTTACTGAGCATCATATTCAACAGATTCAGGACAATCAGTTTGAGCAGTTTAGGTTTTTATTCTAGGAACATGTACCTTTAGAGAGAGAGAGAATTCTGAACACTAAAAAATAAAAAATAATAAGAAAAAATTCAACCTAAAAAAAAGCAATGCATGTACATGACTTTATCCAGACAATAAAAAAAAAAGAGAAAACAATCCCTTCTTGTTTGTAAATATAAAAGTATAAACTTTGTCAAGGCTAGAAGTCAGGATGCTGAGGGAGGAATACTTGGAGGTAAAAGCAAAGGACTATGTATGAGAAGGAATAAGTTCTACTTCCACCATGATATCTACATGCTATTTTTCCCAACACAAATTACTGGGCTTTCCTACTTCAGAAAATCTTGCTTACCTGTTTCCTAAACCATGGTTAATTTTTTGTGGTAAGACAAGAAACTCACAGTCAGATAAAATCTGCTAAAGGTTTTATAGCTAATGGTCAGATAAAACCTGCTAATGGTTTATAGCCAATAGTATTTCCTTCCCTTATGTAGTTAAAAGCTTCCTAAAAAATAATGTCATGTGGAATAATTTCTTAGAAATAAGCATTTTTCATGAATGAATCATGGATTTTTGTGGGTTTTTTATACTTTAAAACTCATCCAAATTTCTCTCAAGACCCTTAAGGATGCTCATACAGCAAGCTTCCACTTTGAGTATTGTATAATACTGCAAATATTGTAAAAAACTTATTTCCATTAAGCATTTTGAGTCCTACTGGTGCCTCAAACCCAACAGGCTATTTGATTTCGCCACAATTCGCAAAGATTCTATGGGAAAGCAGGAATCTGAGGAGGTAATAGAAGGAAAACTAAGGACAGGCCGGGCTCACTTTAAAACTTGTGCAACAGGAGAATCCTTGAAATAACAGTGGCCGTGTCCATAGTGCCTGCAAACTGAACAGCACAAACCACAGCATCCCAGTCCAGCTAACAACAGTGGAGAATCCTTTGCATGTACCCACACATGCAACAGCACGCTACCATGTAGGAGAAGGTTTGAATTATTTATAGCTAACACGTAATTGCATGCCAGACCTTTGGTGACTCAAATCCTTCACGAGCATTGTTCCATACTCTGTGCCCAGCACCACAGACATTACATAGTTTACTTGATTCCACTAGCAATCCATTTGAGTTATGCACACGTAAACCGAATAATTCAAGCATATGCACCTGACAGCCTGCAAAGGCTATAAACTAGTTCTGGCAAAAGTGTTTTGGTGTTTTTTGTTTGTTTGTTTGTTTGTTTTTTTGAAAGGTGCTTATTCTAATTTGAAGTAAAAATGGAGTTAAAACTGCATGCACATGCTTTGGACGTCTTCATATTGCTTTACTGTGGCGTATGTTTATATTTAAAAAGCAAAGTATACAAAAAGAAGTTGCCAGAATGAGTAAATTAGGGAGAAAGCCTGGTAGGTTTCAAATGGTTATGACTAGGATCAGCTGTGGCAGTACCAGTACTCAAAACATTTGCAATGATTCTAAAAGAAAAAAACCTCGACAAAACTCCCTTAAGATGGCTACTTAGTGATTTGATTTTTCCATTAGACACAGGCTCTCTTAGCAGTTTAGTGAGCTAATGTTAAATTATCTAGTTTGTCCTTAAAGGAAGAAGTAATACAGACATAATTAGTGAGCTGAATGGCAGATCTAATCAAAGTCTCAGTGGTACCAAGCCCTGAAGCTACTAATCTTGAAAGACTCATGCAGACCGTATCCAAATCCTGTAACTGTCCAAGGCACGACTCCAGGGTCAGCATCTGTGGGATTCTGAAACTGACTGGGCCGCTATTAACCATAACTACAGTTAGAGACTGTCAATGCCGCACAAACAAAAACTGGGAGTTAGCAACCCCTGCCCTCCTTCCCTCCGCACCCTCACAAACTGAATTACTGTACCTGGCATTCCACATTGCAGTAAAAGGCCTGTTTACATCTTCCACACTTGGACAATCCGTCTTTCCTTAAAAAGAAAACAGAAGTATTCTGTTCTGAAATAAAATTGTATGCTGGATCACCTTTTGCACAGTATTTTGCATTTCACAATGAATACTGTATTTTCTTTAGAGCACTACAACTACAGATTGAACTACATCTTTGAATAGTAGACACTATTTTTGTTTAGAGTTCCAAAATCAAGTTTTCCTAACAAGGGTTATTATGCAAAAGTAGCACTCTGTTACCCTGATAAATTGCTGGGTTTGTAAACATGTTATTTTATGCTATTTGACAGACAGTGTCTTTTTTTTTTTTCCACTATAAGATGCATAATGAGCTAACTTTTTTTTGTTTTCCAAACTTTCCAACAGCTCTGTATACTTGCTCAGCAATATTAACCCTTTGCTTTTGCTTTGCCCATTTTATTGCTTCTCTGTCTGGTTACAGAAAGCAGAACCTTTGTTTCATAAGTGTCTCCCAACACCATGAAAACATATTGGATTATTAAATACACTGTTTGATCTCCTGTCACCTCATAGCCCCTTACTGTCCCACTAATGTCTTCTCTGGTATCTGTGTATTCTGAGCTGACTTAAGGCTCACACCCTCCTTTTTTTTAATATTTGTATGTATCCTGATAGAGGGAACTGCTGAAAGGAAGGTCCTTTTCTGCCTCAAGGTTCATGTGCTGTAGCAGATCCCACCAAAAATAGAACGTGTTACCCAACAAGTGACATTTTGATGTGACAGCAATAAGGATCTCTCAACAGTACTGAATACTTTAAAATATCTGTACGCCTTCCCTAGTGTAAGTGACAAAAAGAAATTGTCTTAAAGTTCATTGGACTAAAACAAGGGTGAGTGTTCCTGTACAACATGATAACGTACAACATTTCAGCGGTCACTGGCATCCAGAGCCCATAAAGCACGGCAAGTCTGGCATCCCCTGATTGTTCTTGCAAAGCAGAAGGTGCAACCTGAGTGAGCCAGACTAACATCATGACTCCTCTTGCTAACAGTATGTACCTCAAGCACAACCGTGTATTTAAAGTAACAAACACTATCTCATGCAAATACAATGTTACGGCCTCATTTTGCCATGTTACTATAACGGTTTTATTACCAAATATCAAAGTTTTTCTGCCCGAGGCTAGTGCTGAGCCCATCACCTTCCTCATAACATCCTTGGCAAGTTCAACAAGCAGAGTTCAGAATCTAGTATATGCTAGTTCAGTGCTAATGCAACAGTCACAGACACAAAACATATGTCTGAGCACTGGCAGATCACATTACATCACTGAGGCATCATTCCTCTTAGTGGCACCTCATCACCCTGGTGTGAAATAAGTTTCAGATTACCCCACTAACTGCTACACTACTGCCTTCAATATATTCCTTGATCACTGTGCTCCTCCAGACCTCCAAAGGAGGAGCTTGCATGGATAACAAGCGGTGTTTAAGTAGGGTGATCTTGAAGATGATCTTTCAAATTTATTCCACGAGATAACTCTAATCTTTACGGCATTACTGCACATCAAGGGAGCATGGAAAGTATTCCTTGCTCCTTTGGCAGACAAACCCAACAACACCTCAACCCAAAACTTAGGGGCTAAGAAAAGCCACTGGTATGAAGGAGGAGAAAACCACTTCAGCTGTACCCTTCGTCAAATTAAGGCACTTCACTAGGAACTACATTAGGCGTTCATATGCAAATAGAGGGGTGAATAAAGTAAGTCATATACATATATAATGTAATGAGGAAAGAAAAAGGACGTATTGATAAAAATAGCAAAATTACAAAAGTTGTTTTCCTTTACTGATGCAAACACTAACACATGCTTTGAGTTATAACCAGGCAAGCACTGTGATTTTTCAGTAAGCTGCCAGAAGGCCACAAAAGTACAACTTCTAAAAACGTGGTGCGGTGTAACATGTCACATGTCACAGTGTCATGTGCATGCCTAATTTCCTAACGATAACCCTAATCTGCTTTTTTTGTTGTTGTTGTTTTGTCTTCCTGCAGCACCTGGCATTGAGAGGCTTGCTGCAATCACGAGAATACCTGCCGCAGGTCAAACAGCCCCTCCACACAGGCGAGGAGAGAAGCTGCGGAGGCCCCAGAAAACTCGAAAACTCCAGCACCCCGCAGCCCGCCAGCGCCAGGAATCACGAAGCACCCAGCAGCAGGCAGCGCTCCAGCTCGAATGCTCCCAGCCATGCGACAACGAACCCCTTGCGCTGTCTGCGCCTTGCCCCAGCAGAAGCAATTTGCCAGAAGACTTAAGGGTTTGGACAGAGAAAATATACAGGTATTGCTGTATATTTCATTACAGTTATACATTCCGTTCGCACAGTGGAAATGCAATGCGTGAATTAGGCGATTGCAGAGCCTTCCTCTCTTATCAAAACTCCATTTAAGACCAGTGAACATTAAGTTATTACTAAACCAGACGGATCAATGAAACTTCCTGTGAGGGGATGGTTACGCACGTGCCTACGTAACCGCCAGCGCACGGGAAGAGCAGAACTTCTTTTTTTTTTCCTTTCTTCCTTTTTTCCTGAGCTGCTGAGCAGGGAAAACCAGCTCTGAGGCTAAAAGTTCCATCCTGCCGCAAGGACCACGAGTCCGGGAGGAGGGAATTTCTGCTACCGAACGGCCGCGGCAGCTGTGCCGTGCCGGCCCCGCCACCGCCCGCCGAGCGCTGCCCGGCGCCCCGGCCCTACCTGGCGAAGCAGCCGTCGCAGTGGCCGCCGCGCTCGCTGACGGTCAGCACGGCGGCGTAGGCCGGGCAGCTGAACAGCAGCTCCCCCACGCCGAAGCGCCGCAGCGCCCGCAGCCCCCGGCCCTTGCCGGGGCTGACGAACCGCTCCAGGCCGCCCGGCGGCGCCGCAGCCTCCGGGCGCATCCCGGCCGCGAGGAGGGGAAGGGAGGGAAGGGGCAGGGGGCGCCGGGGCTCCGAGCGCTGCCCTCCCGCACCGCGTCCGCCGGCACACGGGGCCCCGGCAGGCCGGCCCGGCGCTGCCGCCGCGGGAGCGCCTCCTGCGGGCGGCGGAGGACGCGCCGGCGGCTGCGCATCCGGGGAGCCGCCGGGGCGCGCTGGAACGGGCCGGGGCGGCTTCGGCCCGCCTAGAACCGAAATCCTGGCGTTCCCGCCGCCCCGAGGCCCGCCCGCCGCCCACCGGCATCGGGGAGCGGGGTGCCCGCGCACGCCAGCGCGGCAGGAGCATCCCCGAGACCCGGATCTCGAGCAGCTGGTGCCCCGGGGAAGGCGCTCTCCCGCTCACCTCTTTGCATACGAGCACCGAATACAGTTCCTATTGAAGCAAGTCTCATTAATTTGGGGAAGCGTACAGCTGAGGTGACTTTCCTCTCCTCCTTCACACCAGTGGCTTTTCCTAGCCACTAAGTTTTGCGTTGAGTGGCTGGGGTTGGGTTTTTTGTTTTTTTGCTCTTGCACCTAACCACACATTTTCTTGTGCCAAAGAAACTGGCTGGTTTTGTTTATCACATTCACAAGATTTGTCTGCCAAAGGAGCAAGGAATACTTTCCATGCTCCCTTGATGTGCAGTCATGCTGTAAAGATAAGAGTTATCTCGAGGAATAGATTTTAAAGATCATCTTCAGGATCATCCTACTTAAACACTGCTTGTTATCCATGCAGTTGATAACTCCTCCTTGGAGCTCAGGAGAAGCACAGCGATCAAGGAATATATTGAAGGCAGTAGCGTAGCAGTTAGTGGGGTAATCTGAAACTTATTTCACACTAGGAGTGCCACTAAGAAGAACAGCAAGGCCACCCAGGGCAAAGCACCTCAGTCGTGAGCAGGCTTGCTGCTCAGGTCACAGGGTGTTCATGTGTCACAGCCTGCTGGATAACCAGGACAGGACTTGGCTCACACAGGTGTGGTGCCGTTCAAGTTTTCCCACCACCCGCCCTGGTTTACAGCACCTGCTGTAGTGGGGTGACAGCAGAGGGACCCTGCGTGACCTGGTTCTCCAGTGGAGCAAGGAAGCAAGGCCACTGGAGATGCTGGGGTGGGCAGGAGATCACAAAGGAGGAAGAGAAGGGGCTTCTGGAAGTAGCAAGCCTACCCTACCTCTGCTGCAGCTTGGCCAGCTTGAGAGTCAGTGGGCCAGTGTTCTTGGCCAGCCCACCACTGCCCTACATGGCTTGAGGATGCCAGATTTTGGTTACAGCTCAGAGGCCCGAAAACCAGCTATCCTGTCCTAGTATTTTAGGATAATATCCTGTAGTCTGACCCCCCCCAAAAAACCCAAATACATGGAATTAATAAAAAATTGTCATGAGGAATGGGCTTCTCTTCATAACAAATCAGTCAATCAGCAAAAAAACCCCAAACATAAAGTTTGAATATGCAACAACTATGTTGTAAATACAACAAAGCCTCCAACAACAAGAAAATACTGAATTTACACAAAGTAAGAGTTTCTCTCTTAGAATTTTAAAGACTAAATCTATTACTGAAATCCAGATACAACAAGGGAAATCAGTAAAGCTGTCTGTATTAAGAAAAGTGCTACAGCTTTGTACCCATATATTTTGTATATGAATATCAGTTGTACAATACCTCGGTACAGTAATTAAAGAATATTCCTTTTGGAAATGCAAGTGAAGCACTGAAGCAAATGAAAACATTTTTGATGTCACTTGTTGTAGTTCACAAGCAGTGTGAATTGATGTAAACATCCAAAGGTTGTAACCTGTGCTGTTAATATCTGTGTATTTAGTACTGTGTTAAATTATTTGTACACTAAATCCTTGGTAAGATCCTTTTTGATTTAACATGTCAGTTGAAACTTAAAGGCTCAAAATTTCCACAAAGAAATCAGTAAAGTGGAAAGAAAATAACTATGTTGAAGAAGCAACCTTGACATGAGAAATTAGCTTGCAAAAGTGCTTTGAGAATGGTGCTAAAACGAAATAAAAATTGGTTCAGTAGAACAAGGATAAAAAGAGCTAGATTTTAATCTTATTAACAGTTCAGTATGTGGCAGGTATTCATTATGCTAAAGCTACTCTTGTGTTGCTCAGCTGATAATCTAGTCCTAAATTAAAACAGGAGCAGTAGTCTGTAGCTGTTCAATATCAATACTCCATCCCAGTCTGTTTCTCTGGATAGTGCCAACAAAGTAGACATAGAAACACTAAAACAACAGTAGGGAAAATAAGCATGCAAAATTCAATTTGCAAAACAGTGTAACTCATCCTGTACTGCCTTGTTGCAGACACAATAAAAGCAGCATCTAATCTTCTAACCAAGTACTGAATCTTATGCATCAGGAGTGCCATTTACATCCCAGTTCAGTCTAGGTTGTGGATGTCAAGCTCAAAGGTCTGGACTCTTAATTGTAGGCATTTCTATAACTAAGTATATTTAAAAATAGTGATCGATAATGTATTCACTTTATGAATGAATTAACATTAGTTGGGAAACTGCCCTTATAGTCAATCCAGTTTGACTAATTGATAGGTCTATTATAGACAGACAAATAGAGACACAGGTCCTAAACCAATCTACTCTGACTTCTTACACCGCACAAGCTATTGCATTCCTTGAACTAATTCCTGCTCAAAATAGAGCAAAACTTTAGGAAATAACCAGTCTTCATTGTAAAATGTTCTTAATAAGTGGTTTTAGAGAAAAAAATCTAGTAAACATATATGCTTTATTTCTACCCTTAAAATTCCCAGTTGGCTTTCCAGCTGCTGGATCTTATTATAACATTATAAACTATTTTGAAACATTCTCAGCTTTTTTTCTCTCTACTTTAGTACACTGGTAAAATGAAATGCTTTAGCATTTGCTTCTGAAATCTGAATACAACATGATATGCTCCAGTAGTGAAATCCTGGTAACACTGAAGTCAATGACCAATTCCTACATTCTTTAGTGACATCAGCATTTAATTTGTGTTTCAAATAACATGCCCAAATAAAAGAAGTCTAACAACTCAATGATCTTGCATATCTTTTCTAACCTAGTGATTCTATGATATGCATTCTCAGATCAATTCCTAGCAATCATACAGAATCAGAGAATATTCTGAGTTGGAAGGCACCCACAAGGATCATGAAGTCCAGCTCTTAAGTAAATGGCCCATATGAGGATCAAACCCACAATGTTGGCATTATTAGCATCATACTCCAACCAACTGAGCTGAGGAGTGTTTTAGTACAATACTTTGTGCTGCATCATAGGCTTCTCTAAGATGATGTGGGTTCAGCAACGAGAAGCTTGTGAGGAGGTGTCTTTTGGGGGGAACCAACTGGAATGATGGCAAATGTTATCACACTTCTGTTCCATATTATCCCCCATGTTAAACCGCTGACAATTTGATTATGCCTCAGGTAATGAGGAAAAATTTGAATTTCAGTAGGTCTCTTTTTTAATAAACAGTCATTTAGTTTTAAAAACAATAATAATAATTTACTAAATAGGCTTTATTCCACCCTGAAAAACATTGCTTTCCAAGAGATAATGCATGGATTTATTCACAAGAGTGAAATTCAGCACCGGCCAGCAGTCCCATTCAAACCCTTCAGGAGAAATTCAACCAGCTGCCTACATAGCTTTTAGCTTACTTTGGATATTTTCAAGAAATAAAACTAGTTTGTTAAGTTATTAATGAAAACAGTTTAGTAACTACTTTGTTAGAGTATTTTTCGTGTATTTTTACAAAACCTGTAAATAAAACATACTCTTTTGGATCTCCCTATTTCATCTGTGTTTTCATACCATGTTCATCAGATAATCTGATTTTGGGTTTTTATGAATCAGTTTGAATACCTAAATAAATAACGGTTTATTGCAAAACACAGACTTGTTAATCAATTTATGAAGATTCTCAAGGCTTTAGCCATATGAATATGCATGCAATGACAGAATGAATAGCCAACACCAGGGAGTTTCAAACAACCAGAAAAGACTGGAGTGCTTTCACTGTTCACAAGATCAGTGGAGGAGTCTGTGCCCTACAGAATGTGTTGGGGACCTGGCAGGATTGGGTGATAAAACGATACTTCGCTAAATTATACCTTACATCTGCAGAGACTTGTACTTCTCATCTCTTCTGTCTTTTTTTAACTTCCGTTATGTCTGTTTTAAATATGAAAGATGATGGCTCATGAAAGGATGTGAAGTAGGGTATAGGTTTAAGAAAGTCACAGAACAAAGTGTCATGCCTGCTCTTTGAATTTCTTAAAATTAAGGAGTCTTTAGAAGCAGAGCTGTTCACCTTCACTCACAACCTTGGAGCTGCTCTATGGAAAACCATGTGTGTTTGATGGGAAGCGATCCATCTCTGTTAGTCACTTTTAGTTAGGCTTAATCACTTAATCTTCCATAAACGGTACCGCCGAACCGCAGCCTGTACTCTCCAGGAGCGGCTGCATGCCCTGTGCCCAAAGCTGTCTTTTTGTGTTATGTGTCACCGCAGACTTTAGCTAGAAAGGTTCTGAACTTGGAAAGGGAGCAGGGAGTCACTTGCTAAGACACAGGGCCCCCAGCAAACTGGAGGGTGAGCTAGGAATAAACAATAAAATCAGCTACAGGGTAGGTACAAGGAACAATCATAGGCCAGCAGCCTGTGGGGAGAGAAAGGACAAAGGAAACGGTATATAACATTTTCTATATTTAATGCAATTATTTCCAGAGAGATCTGGTTTACTAACCTTGTCTTTTGATCCTTTGTTTCCTGGTTGGTTTTTTTTTTTCCCTCTGAAACTATTGGTACCACCAGCTGTTTTCAGCTAACCATTGCAGGTACTGACAACAAGATACTGACACTTCCTACATTGTGGTGTAAGTAAGCTCATTTAATAGGCTTTGTGGGCAAATTTCAAGGCTCTGTCTTGCTGTAGCTAGGCAGCTGCTTCTGGTATCTTTGCAATTTATGGGTAGTTTGGGTTCGCATTTGCACCTTTTCAGCAGATGAGTGCAAGTCT